AAAATTGTTAAAAATAGAAAAATTAGAAATGAATAAAGAAATAGAAGAAGAAAGATTTGAAGAAGAAGAAGAATTAGAAGAGAAGATAAAAAAATTAAAAGAGAAATTAGAAAAGAAGGAAGAAGAAGAATTAGAAAAGGAAGAAAAAGAAAAATTAGAAGAAAAAGAAGAAAAGAATTAGAAAAGAAAGAAAAAAAAATTAATGAATTAGAAGAAAATTTTGATAAAATTAAATCATTTTAATAGATAATAGTAATTATTTTTATTAATTGAATAGAGATTTTAATATATTTATTAATATATTTATATTAATATTTTTCTATTTTAAAACTTATCTGATAATATAATTAAAAAACTTCATCTTCTTTATATTAAAGATAAGTATACAATCTCTGATTAAGCATTTAATGAAATATTAGAAATCTTTAATATTTCTAATATTTCTCTTTATTGACTTCAAAATATTTTAGAAAAAATAGTTTCACTTAAACTAAACTTTATAGATATGTATTGGAATTCATATTGTGTATTTACTAGAAATAATGCCAATATGAATATATATTCTATATGTAAAGAATCACAATACAAAATTAAAAACAAGACTAAAAGTCTAAAAAACAGTTAGCATATTTTTCAATTATTGATAGTCTAAAATTACAATATAATAATTCATCAAGAGCAAGAGATCTAAGATGTTATTATGAATATACATCAAGAGAAGAATATATCTCTGATAATAGTAAAATTAGAGATGTTTTTGATAGTAATAGATACAAAACTTTAATAGCATCTGGTTTATTTTTAGATTATAGAGATATTGTTTTGATTATATCTATAGATGGCTATCAAGTTTTTAAACAAAAATTAAATAACTATTGAATAATTTTACTTTTAAATGCAAATCTTCTACCATCAAAAAGAGTAAAAAAAGAAAATTTAATAATTAATATGGTTATATCTAGACCAAAATCTCCAAAAGATTTTAATAGTTTTTTATAACCATTAGTTGATGAATTAAAGCAACTTGAATATAATTTTTTTTAAATTTTAAATATATGATTAATAGTATTAAATATATTAATTAAATTAAAATTTTGTAGGTGGTATAACCTGTTATAATACAATATTAAAAGAGACATTTAAATTATATAGCTATATTCTTTCATAATCTGGAGATATTTCTACTTTATCTAAAGTTATGTATCTTTCAGGCAATAATACTAAATATGGATGCCAATATTGTTATATAAAAGGATCTTATTCTGAACTTGCTAGACATATGTATTATCTACTTTGATCATTACAAGAATATAATAATTATAATCCAGAAAATTTACCAATGCGTTCTCATAATAATTATATTCTAGATAGTAATGAATGCAAAAAAAGTAAGTTTTATTATTAAATTAATTAAATTTTAATTTATTTTAATTAATTAATTTATTTATTATATTAATAGAAGCAAATAGATGTAGTATTTTATTTGAATTATCTTCAATAAATTTTCCTTTATCATTTTCAGTAGATATTATGCATGCACTTTTGAAAATGTTGCTCCTCATATATTTCGTCACTTTATAGAAAAATTTTTAAAAATGAAAATTTAAATAATACTGAATATAAAATTTCAAAAAATAATCAGAATGAAATTGGCAGACCTCTTATTAATATTTAAAAATATTATTAATCTTTTAAAGCTGAGGAGTGGTGTAATTAGATAATTTTATATTCAATTCCACTTTTGCATAAATATCTTTCAGAAAAGTAATTAGTTTTAATAATTTATAAATTTAAAAATTGTTATTATAAATAAT